AGTGTATGCATTAAGCCTCAGTAATATAGAATCCAAGAAGTTTTATTTTGCTGAGTAGGTCCTGGAACTCAGGCTGAGATTATCATTTGGGGAGGGACAGGCAGCAGGGTTAAGGACAATGTGCTCAGTGCCTACCTGAAGCCACTTGTGTACACCATGACCACCTGTGTACACCATGACCATCAGTCCTCATTTTTCACCTCCTACTGGCTCCTAAGATGCTAAAGAATAATGTAAAACACCTGAACTAAAAATGAAGCATAAATAAAGTTTTTTGCTCTGAGTTTTAGTGTAATGATCTTCACCTTCAGTTTGTGTTAAGACAGTATACTTAGGCCAGGCGTGGTGGCTCATGCCTGTAATCCTACCATTCTGGGAGTCTGAGGTGGGTGGATTGCTTCAGTCAGGGGTTCGAGACCAGCCTGAGCAAGAGCAGGACCCTGTCTCTACTAAAAAATAGTGGGGCATAGTGACACACGCCTCTAGTCCCAGCTGCCCAGAAGGCTGATGCAATAGGATTGCTCAAGCCCAGGAGTTTGAGGTTGCTGTGAACTATGACACCATGGCACTCTACCCAGGGTGACAGAGTGGGACTCTGTCTCCAAAAAAATAAAAATGAATAAAATAATTTTTTCTTTTTTTTTGAGACAGCCTCAATCTATTGCCTTAGGTAGAGTGCTGTGGTGTCACCGCTCACTGCAACCTCCAACTCCTGGGCTTAGGTGATTCTCTTGCTTTTGCCTCCCAAGTAGATGGGACTACAGGTGCCTGCCACAGTGCCCAGCTATTTTTTGGTTGTAGTTGTCATTGTTTGGCAGACCCGGATTTGAACACGCCAGCTCTGGTGTATGTGGCCAGTGCCTTAGCTGCTTGAGCTACAGGTGCCACCCCAAAAAATTTTTAAAGCCTGAATAGTAATTCATTTTAAAAAATGATAGTATAGGGGTGGCACCTGTGGCTTAAAGGAGTAGGGCATCAGCCCCATATGTTGGAGGTGGCAGGTTCAAACCCAGCCATGGCCAAATAACTGCAAAAAAAAAAAAAAAAGATAGTATATTTAAATAGTGTTTAAGCTTTTCAACAGTTGGTTTCAACTTGAAATGGATGTCTGATTGTTGTTTGATTGTTACAAACATCATGTGATAGGCATGGTGTGGTGGCTCATGCCTGCAATCTAGCACTTTGGGAGGTTGAGGCAGGAAGATTGCTGAGGCCAAGAGTTAGAGACCAGTCTGGGCGACATAGTGAGAACCTGTCTCTACAAAAAATAGAAAAATTAGCCAGGCACAGTGGCAGATACCTTATAAAGATATCTGTACTCCCATATACATTACAGCATTATTCACAGTAGCCAAGATATGGAAACAATCTAAATGTCCATTGCTGGATAAATGGGTAAAGGAAATACAATGTATTATTATTATCATTATTAAGCCTTGAAAAAGAGGAAGATCCTGAAATTTCCTATAAAATGTATGACTCTGGATGATATTATGCTAACTGAAATAAGCCAGAAAGGAGGAAAGAAAAATATTGCATAATCTCACTCTCTCTTCTTACTTTTTTTTTTTTGGTAGAGACACAGTCTCACTTTGTTGTTGCCCTCAGTAAGAGTGCTGTGGCATCACAGCTCATAGCAACCTCCAACTCCTGGGCTTAGGCAGTTCTCTTGCCTCAGCCTCCCAAGTAGCTGGGACTACAGGTGCCTGCCACAATGCCCGGCTATTTTTTTGTTGCAGTTTGGCCAGGGCTGGGTTTGAACCTGCCACCCTTGGTATATGGGGCCAGCACCCTACCTACCGAGCCACAGGTGCTGCCCTCTCTTCTTACTTTTTAAATGAAGTATTCAATATGTAAATAGAGAATGTTATAGAAGGTACCACTGGTAGAGGCTGAGG